TCCCGGCGGCGGCGGCGGCGAGTGGTGGTGACGGGGGGGGGGGCGGGCGGCCCCTCGCCCGCCGTGCTCGGGAGAGCGGCGGCCGCTGCGCGTGCTCAGTGCCGGGCGCCGCGAAAGGCATTCTGGGGGGTGTAGTGTGCGGGCGCCTGGGTGCCGCATCTCCCGAGGGCGGGCTTCCTGTCGGGTTTTGCCGTACAGACCCTCCAGGCGGTCCCAGCCAGCCCTGCTCCCACCTCTGCCCGGTGGTTTCCCCTCACGGCTTTCTCCCCAGGCTGCCCAGCCCTTGCCTCCCAGTCCAGTCCATTTTCTTAACCCCTCTACTTCTCCCAGTCGTCTGCATTGCTCACCCCCGCTCCTCATCTCTTCCCCCAGTCTCCTTTAGCCTGCACTTCGCTCTTCTGCTGTCCTCCCACACCGACCTTCCCCTGTCCCTCAGGGCCCCTCCCTGACCCTTGGCTTTCCTCTGCCCAAGAGCCTCCTTGCTTGCTGCCCACGCTCCCTGGCCTCTTGATTTCTTCCACTCAGAATACACGTGCTAAAGCAGAGGGCAACCATCCTGATTATGAGTACGTGGCTTCTAATCTACCAGAAAAAACAGGCAGACAGCGTGCACCTGCACCTTTTCCAGAGGAAGGTTCCTTCCCACCAGGGAAAGCATGACAGCAGCGGCAGGTCACGTTCACGTGGCGGGGTTTGGTAAGGTCAGACTTTGTTGTCCGAAAAGTGCATTCGCCACCCGGTGTGCAATGAGCCAATAATCATACGCTCAGGAGAGACACTATTTATTTCATATTTGCGCAAAGATGAGTGCCAGGTGGTAATACCACAAAGCTAGCACACCCTGCAGTTAAACACACAAGCAATTTATGCAGTTCTAGATGCACCCACTTGTTTCCAAAGTCCTTCCCCAAAATCATTATTGGGAGTCACTTATCTGCCACCATTTCTATTGGGCTAAGGTTTTCTCTGCTTTGAATTAAAAGTACAGTGTTATTTTATTCCACAGCGCATGCTCAAACAGTGTGTGGGGGGGGTAAGTCTTTTAGGTGTTGAATTGAGTGGGTGGTCGTGATTTCCCCCTGCCGCCTTCACCTTTTGCCTTCAGTGCCTTCTGGAGCAGGATGTTTCCTTTTTATCAGTCTTTAGTTCCTTCTTCAAGGGTATAGTCCCTGGCAAAGCCTGCATCGTTTATAGAAAGTAACCAGGCCTACATAGTGAAACTATTGAGTAATGGTCCTCCTTAAAGGACAATGGATCATGTTTAACCCTAAATTGAGCAGTATCACCACAGCTAGGCTGTAACTCAGACGTATGAGTACCACTTAACCAGAGCAATCCTGAGATTATTACAGCTTGAATAAATCACCAAGAACATGCTGAGTCTGATACAAGAGGTCGAATCGAATAAGCACATGGACACGTGTGTGTACGGCACCTCTGCTTGACCCAGCCTCTCCCAAAGTCAACAGGGCTTTTGTCATTCACTTCACTGAGGCTTTTGATTTCTCATGGGAGCTTTCCATTTCCACACCCACGCAGTGCTCTCAGTCAATGAGAAGGACAATTAGTGGTTTGGTAGCATTAGCTACCATTTTGTAGCACATTAGCTGGTGTTTGTATGCATAATTAAATGCTCCCAGAGTGACAGGATTGCTAAACATGCGTGCAGGAAATGAATGTAAAACTTTAACCGTTGAAATGTTTGCCCCTGAAAAGCTGATAGACATTTGGGGGAAATCAAATTTAATGGCTTAGTACTCCTTCCTCCAGCCTCTTTTTCTGTCTTGCAGATTTTGTAGCTAATGATCTGAAGAACTAACTTGTGTTATAAGAGATACACAAGAGAACTGAGGGTTTTCAGAAATGCTCGTTGCTACTCTAAGCTTAATTTCATTACTGTCTCTATGAATTTTAGTGCTGAGCTCCCATGGACTGATAAGGCAAATGTCAGGCTTCTGAGATTCGTTTTCCAGAGTTTGTTCAAGAACTATTACACTAATAAAATCCATTGCAATAGATCCCATCTACTCTATTTCTCATTAGGTTTGTGACTTATGCTCCAGTCTTAGAGAGACTTCAGAATGCTGGACCCACATCCTTATAACTAGAGCAACGATGCAAAATAATCATCATAGTCACCATTTTCATTAACATTTGTTGGAATAAAAAGTCACTATTTATTTCAACAATGCTTAGAGATCTCTATTAATTTTCCTAAAGCATTTGTGAGTAGCAATCTTGACTAAGATTTCATGAATACCTGTTTGCGTATTCACATAAATGTCATCTGCTGTGCTACTTTTCCTCCTTGTAATGAAATATTTAATGAACCAGTCAAAAAGCCAGAGATTATAGTAATTTGAATTAAGTGGCCAGTCACGTATCACAGACAATGAATGGCCAAAGACACAGACATAATCGTTCAACAAAAAAAGAACACCCATAAGCTGAAATGTCTTTCTATGAAATATTCATAGCATTGTGGTGATTTA